ATTAAAGCAGTAAAAAATATTGTAGGCACTGGACTATTAGCCATTATAAGAACTCTTTTATTTTGGCAGGGATGAGCTGTGTTTGCATCTCAAAGGATTACAGATATTCATGTAGCATTTTAAGGAGAAACGCTGCATGAAGATCTGTGATTTTGTCCTTTACAAAAATTCCTCATATGAACGCATTTCTCAGCAGTAAAGTTGTCCCTTATTATGCATATTTCGCTTGAACCGGGTATGTTACTCATTCATGTGTGGTGAATATCTTTGAACAAGAGACATGGCACCATTCTAATCAACAAAAACTCAAGTGCTTGAAACCCTATGGAATGAAATCTGGAATTCTCATTTTAGGTCTTTAATTGCCAAGCTCCAGACACAGGTAATATGGAAGTTTTGATTAAATATGGGAACGCCGAACAAAAGAAGAAGTGGCTCATACCGCTCTTGGATGGTGAAATAAAAAGTTGTTTTGCGATGACTGAACCGGACGTGGCGAGCAGTGATGCCACCAACATTCAGGTAGATGACTGCACTGTTAATTAGGGTGCTATGAGCAAATGAGACATTGTAATCTAGGGTTTGATTGTACGCGATGAAGGCGAATACGTCATTAATGCGAGGAAATGGTTTACGAGCAATGCTGCTCATCCACACTGTAAAATATGCATATTTATGGGTCAAGTAGCTGGTCAGAAGGTTAATCATTTTCGTCTCTTCCTCTTTTGAGATCATTTACCTTACATATCGTCTTCAAGCAATGTAAATTAGTCTTTACAGAACTCTCGTCTACATCGCCAGTCAATGGTGCTCGTCCCGATGGATCAAAGTGGCATAGAAATTGTTAGGAATTTGACTGTTCTTGGTGGCGATGATGCTCCAAGTATGACGCCCAATTTACTCCCTAAAATTTGTCTAAATGTTGGAAAGTACAGAACATTGCAGGTGGACATTGCGAAATTCTCTTTACTAATGTTCGCGTACCAGTAGAAAACATAATACTTGGTGAAGGTCGTGGATTCGAAATTGCGCAGGGAAGACTAGGTCCTGGAAGAATTCACCACGCAATGCGATTGATTGGTCATGCTGAACGCGCTATAGACATTATGAAGGAAAGGGTAGGTCTCAAACATCTTCTAT